TGATGGCCATCATCACATTACATCGTGTCAAAATCAGGGGCGGTGCTTTTTTCCCGCCTCTCCCTGAGGCCGGAGCTGCTGCCACAAGCCGCCAGCGACTTTGGGGCGCTGCTGACGCAGCTTGGGAGGCGGAGCCCTATTTCGGAGCCCTTAGAGGAAAAGGGTTCTTTAACACGGTTCCCCTTAGCAGCGCTTGATTAAAGTTTTTGTGGAACTCTTGCAAGTTGACAGTGTGCAGAGAAGGAAGCGAACAGATTTGGGGCTCGATCGTGAAAAGCTTGGGCGGCAGTATAGGATAAGCTACATGCGGTTTCTTGCCGTGTGTTTGAGATTGCGAGATGATCAGCAGTCGGGGCTCTAAGCTTGTAGGACAGATGCCGAAAGACTTTGCAGCGGCTGCCGTGCCCCAGGTATGCGGAGGCCGAGTGGTATCTAACCCGGGGGCTGACAGCTGCCCCGGATGCCTACATCCTTTACACCCTCTCTGCAGCTTGTCCTCTTGCTTGGCTGGGTGAGCTCCAAGGTTGTGTTCGCATTCTAGGGCCTCATCGCCTGAATCAAGCGGTTACTGTGAGGATATGTCAGGATCAACCTTTGCTGTGCCTCGTCTGCAGCCCTCCAAGGTGGTCCTCTGGAAGCGCGGGGACCTGGACGTGCCCCGACCAAAGTCTTCTCTTTTGGCGGCTTCGCAAAGGCGAAAGTACGAGGGCTCTCGATTCATCTCGATTCACGCAATTCACGAATTCATAGCTCGGTGCATTTTGCTCTTCCCAAAACCGGAGATAGAAAGCAGACGAGACTCGTCCCGTTGAGGCTTCAGAGCAGCGGCTCCTCGAGGCCCTGGCTGCAGACCCGCACGTGGCCTCGCAGGTGCCTAGGGCCTAAGGGCCGGGAAAGGAGATGGAGGTGGGGACATGTGGGGACGTATCGGGGTATGGAGTGCGGAGCTTCGGTTTCAGTGTCGATTGGAGGTCCAGGTACATGAAATGAACAGCCCGGACATGTATGACGCTCCAGCTCTACAGAGGAGCCACCTAAACACTGCTTGGAAACCCAAACAGCCGCTGGGGCATCAAGCAAAGCAACAACACCCCTAAAGCCCTACCCCTACAAAATGTTAGTTATGTCAATTTGTATCGTCGCGGTCGTCCCCGCCCGATAGCCTCAGCTCGGCCTTCTGTCCCTTGGTGACACCTGCAATTGGAAAATGTGCAGGTTAGAGACATGTCAAGACACACACCTGTACACACACACGCACACACACACACACACACACCAAACCAAAGCAGAGACAGACAGAGAGAGAGAGAGAGAGTGAGAGAAAAAAAAGAAAGAGACACACAAAGCATGCGGTTGGGCTTGGAGCCCGGGGGTCCTAGCCTACCCCTGTGCCAGAGACAGAAATGTACTGAGAAGGGATGGGAAAGACTTGAGTCATAAAACGCTGATTTCTTCCCCCGGGCTGCTGCGGCCTTGTCGAGGAGCTGCGGCCCGAGCCAGCCCGGGCCTTTCCTTTGCCGACCTCGCCAAGGGAGCTCCGGCAGCTGCTCACGGAGGCCAAAACCCAAAACACGCGCGCAGGGTTTAGTGGTTTAGGAGGTTCAGGGATTTACTGCAGGAGTCAGGGTTTAGGATGGTTTAGGGCTTTCTGTCATATTATCAGAAGCCAAGGAGGATTATTGCCATGAAGGCTACGAACAAGGCTGCTACGAGGTTAGAGTCGTAGGAAGCCCCGAACGCATGGTTTAGCAAACTCGTCTTTGGTGGGAAAGCCCTTACTCTTGGCTTCCAATCATATGAGGCTTAGTGTTGAAGGTTTGGGTATTAGAAGGTGTGCGGGGTTTCGGGTTCCAGGCTTGGTAGCAGGATGCTTTTGAAACCTGTGACAGAGCTGCTCTGGAAAAGAGTTATGGTGTAGGAAACCCAACAAGCCTGAACTTGAATGCATTCTCTTCAACCAAAGATTGCCACGACAGCTTCTGCTGGAGTGGTGCTCTGACGGCATGCCGAAAGCATCAATAGTCGTTGCAACAGCAATATTCGTTCTAGTAGCAACAAATTATATATAGGTGTTGTCACGATGATTAACAATCATACTAATCAGATCAGCCTCACGCCTCGCATTCGCATTGACCTTTGAAAGAAAGAGGATGCGCTGCGTGGAAGCTGTGACGCTTGTTTGTTGAGGTTCATCGCTTGGCATGGCTCCGTAGAACCTGCAAGAACGGATTCGTTTAGCGAATCGAGAACACCAGCTCTCTATGTTTATGGCGCCCCTCTCCGTCGGTTCGTGCTCCATTTGCTGCAGGTGTGCGCTTGCCGAGGCGAGCATCAGCCCAAGGCAAGGCGTGTGCAGTCTGGTACCACCCATGGAGTCAGGTCTCAGGCTAACAGGAATCCCTGTAGTAACCCTTATACGCATCATAGCCTTATGGGAAGTGGAGGCATCTGCAGAGGGTTGACGGCTGACTTTACCATTTGCTCAGGCCGCCTGTTCAGAGGAGCTGGAGCTTCTCGGCTGTGGTCAGGGCTTGCTTGTCTTTCCCAATTTCGAGGCCGACAAGCACCAGTCTGGAGGTTCCTATCAGGATCTCTACATTACAGTGCCCCTGTGTCCCAAGCTATCGCAATCTTTAGATGTTTTTAGGATCGGCCGAGCAGTGTAGGCGACTCTGCTTTATAGACCTGGAACTGCCAGAAAGCTACGCAGATTGGATGGTTCTTGGGTGCTCATACACGGCGAAACTGCGAATGGCCCAGTAAGGCAGTTCCACTTTTGCCGGACCCTGAGCCCCTGCACCTGAATGCCAGGCCCGTAGAACTAGGGTGGAGACCCTTCACCTTCTCAACAGGAGAATCCCCATGAATTGACGTAGGGGTACCCATACTCGTCCTTTCGGGCGCCTTACTACAGCAACTCAAGAGTATGCTAGACAAAAACCCGAGCTTTGCAGGAATCCTTCCCTAAACCCCATAGACTCCTTAAGGACCCCTCAAAGGGAACCCTTCTGGGCAGCGAAGGTTCGAGCTGCTGGGTCTCGCTGCGGAGGCCCCGGCTGAGGCCTGGGAGGGCCTGGCCCTGGAGGTCCGAGGCCACCTCGAAGCAGAGGAGCGAAGTCGTTGTGGTGTCCTTGAAAGGGCACATAAAGCATCTTGTCATCTTCAGCCAGCAGTAGATATGTGCAATGTAGTGTCTTGAACAGTGCACATTTACATTTGCATATATATATATATATATATATATATAATATTTACATTTGCATGTGTATATATATATATATATATATATAATATCTGTGTGTGTGTGTGTGCGTCTGTGTGTGTGTGGATGTATTCTGAGCACCATCTATCATATGTGATGTAGGCGATGTTACATGGTAGATGGTGCAGGGTATATGGGTTGATGTTGCATATCAAGATGTAGAGTACTTTGGAATAGTTAGAACGAAGCAGAATTCTTATCTGACCGAATCCCATCCACCGTTTTACATGGTGAATTATATACACTATGTTAGACTGTACCCGTCCCTGAGTTTCTCCACAGATTTGGGCGCGTGTGGCGTGAGTCAGAGTTGAAAGCCACGCCAGGAGAACCAAAAAGCTGCTGCGAGCAAGGAGGCCGCCCGATTTTGGTGGAGATGGGATCGGTCAGATTTGGGGAGAAGGCCGAGTTGCGACTGCTGAAAGAGCGGCAGAAAGAGAGCTGGGACAGCGGAGCCCGAGCCCGAGCCCGACCAAAGCACGAACTGCCAGAGAGACCGAGACACCCCGGCGTGGTTATCCCTAGAAGCTGTCGCCGTTTGGTTGCCAACCTACGCCTACGCGTGCGACAGTTGAGTCCCTGTAATCTCCCATGGCACCTGAAATCATGCGGGAATTGGAGCCGGGAGATGGAGCCGTCGCAAACGAGACTGCTCCGAATGCAGGTGGCATTGAACACAGGAAGAAAAATCATGTCGTGTGGACACACCAGCAAAATCTGAGGAAGTTGAAGGCTTTTGGTGGAGCTTCGTGCCTGCATTTTGCCACAGCCAGGGTTTCGTGCCGCGGCGCTCCGAGATCATCGATGGGATCGTACCCCGGGGATCCCTGATGAAGCTGCGCATCCTGGAGAACAAGCGTTTTCTATTTCAGGCACGTGGTTTCCACAGAACTGCGTTGAGTGCGGCTCAGGTTGGCGTTTAGAGGGAAATGCGGTCCTTTCTGTGCCAGACAGCTGCTCATGTGCGTTGTTCCTGCTTTTGCAATGCTAGAAGTGATGCATTCCACGTGACTCCTTGAAGCCCTGCTGGGCAGGTGGTCTCAAACTGGACAGGCTCGCGTGCACACTCTGGGCTGACCGCATCTCAACGAGTCCTTTTGGTGGACAGGTTCAAAGCGATTTCGTTCCATGATGTGGTTCCCCCCGCTCGTCGTAGAGGGCACCACCCCTAGAAGGGCCATCCTCATTCGCGATACGAGCTCGCACTTTGGCACGGTGAACCTGCTGCAGTGTTTGTGTTGATTCCTGTCAAAATTCCTGTGCAGAGGCTCCTTCGAAGATTCGTGCAGAATCGCAGGGCCACTCGGTACTCAATTCTGTCGGCAGACGCAGGCTCAGTCACGTGTTTGCACGCCCTGATGTTAAGCATGCCAGTGAAATTGAGCATGAGGTCCGAAGTGCTGGTCCAGACCTGGGTGATTGCAAACGCCTCGAGGAAAGCAGAAAGCCTGGCTGACATCTGTACGGAGATCTTGCAGTGGCCACCAGGCCTGCGCTGTGCAGCAAATGTTAGACTCTTAGACTTGTAAGGGGAAGCGAGGGAGTGGACTGTGCTTGGTTTTGTCAGATCGGAATAGATCGGCATGACATGTGCCTTGAAGATCGTACGCTCTCGCTTCGACCCGGTGCTGACAGGTCGTCGGCAGCTCGTGGTGAAGCCTGTTGACATGGACACTTGGCCGGATTTCGGATCGCATTCCTACCCATATCAGCAATGACAAGCAGAAAGGTTCCCTTCGTCGGAACGACATGCAGCGTAGACAGGGACATGTCCTGACGATTACCTCAACGGCCGCCGGAGGCCTTTGCCATCGGCACGACTCTTTGGAACCTTACTGGGCAGGTTGGACTAACGCAACCTGGTCTGCAAGTTGGGCCGTACGAGTCCTCTTGACTAGACTAGCACAACCTGCTGCCCCAACTACTTTACAGCGGCCTTCGTAATTGCCTATACTAGCCTATACTAGTTTGGGGGTTCCTTTATAAAAAAGATATGGTATAATGCGCTCCAAAACCTATTCTAATCATTAAGGCCTGTTATCATAAGGGAAGGCGTTCACCCTTCGCTCCGCCAAGGCAGGCATCCTGCCAAGAAAGCTTTCCAACAAGCCTAGCCGGAATGGACGCAGGCCGGGCACGGCCATGTCATGATCTATCGACTCGTTGATTCGCTTAGTCTATCTATCCATCCATCTTCTCGACATGATGTGACTCCTTGGAAGAGAACGCCATTGCATTTGTTGCGAGCTTTTGACACCTCTGTCATGCGGCTCCCGTGCAGCCGGTGAAGATTCAAGTAATGCCTGCCTGTACGGTACGCTCATCAGCCGCACCGCAGAGTCTCCGGCCTGTGTGTACGTAGAAGGAGATTTGCACATATGACTGTACGCGCGTGTATTTCATGTTACATGTGCAGCATACCCTAAACCCTGAAGCCCTTCGCCCTAAACTACAATAAATTCTGCGTGCCGCAGACATGAGTAGGCGCGTGAGTCTGCGCATATCCGCATATTGCTTGCCCCTGGCAGACGCTGAGTCTGATCGAAGGGTGCCTCGGCCGCAGCTGCGAGAAAAAAAAGCTGTTCCCTTACGGTCATGTTGTCGCATCTTATGCTATAAAGCTGTCATATTACGTTATGCTAATAATATGCTACGACAGGTTCTGCTATGACACTGTTATGCTGTCGTGTGTTCTCGGAGGAGAGTCTTGTGGAGGTGTTTTATCGGTCACGATTCGGGGCATTGGGCCTTGCTCATCGTGGAGAGGTTTCGAGGGATCATGTCTTGAGAAACAACTTTGCTACCCTTTGGAGCTACCAACAGCACAGCAACTTCGAAGACAGGATACGATCATGGTCCAGCAGTCGCTTGGCTGCAGCTTTCTCTGTTGCGCACCGTGCCAGCATGCAGCAGTAGTGTCAGTAGTCGAGATTTCCTTACACTGATGGGACAGATGACAGAGGTTGGGCACAAGTTGACAAGCGAGGATTGGGTGTTGCATGGTGTGTCCAAGCGCTGTGGAGCCTGTTCTGTCGAGATTTCAGGTTCGTCCAGAGCTGGCAGCTGAAAAATCGAAAGCTTGAACTCCGAGCACACTTGCTGAGCCGGGGCAGCATCATCGAGTGGTACTGCGGACCTTTCATTGCGGGTTTGGCGGGTCAGAAACGGTGTGAGAGTCAGAATCAGGATTGCATCTGCAGACCCGCTGATTGCACCCTGACAGCAATAGTCGTACGGCAGCCAGCTCGTGCGATCATTCTCTGCAGTCTTCCCAAACTGCAGGTCTTCTGGGACAGGGATCTTCTCTTCAAGTGGGGCACTGTGCCTCTGCCTGAGGGATGGGTGCTGAGTGGACCATCGCAAGAACGCGAGGTGCCTTGGCAGAAGTAAGTTCGCGATTGAAGACTTCCCGCTGATGAAAACAAGATCTAGCACCTGGAACGGACGGCGATGCAGCGCGGCCTTGCTTCTGTTCACATACCTGCTAGTCCTAAGAGAGAGCTTTATTCATTCTTCTCCGCAAAGGTATCTGTGCAGGCTTCTGAAGATCTCAGCTTCGGGTCGGGATGTACAAGCCAATCCCTCTTCTCCTTGCTTTTGTCTTCATGCACCCACTGGTAGTTGTTAAGACGCCAGCTTGTTGGCACATCTCGCATTAGCTTCCCTACTCCACTCACAGCCCTTGGGAAGAGTGCTAGCAGACATCTCCGCAAATTCGCGCCTGCCGTCGAAAGAACCGTCACCCCAATTCAAGGACCTTCCATACCAAGAGTTGGTGGGTCTCGTGGGCGAAAGAGCAGCAGAAGAGTTATGGATGCACATTCACAAGCAGGAATCTTGGATGCAGTTGGAGGCTTGTTCGGTTTATTTCCATGATTTCTGACCCCATGGATGTGAGCGTCACTTCAAGAGATGAGCCCATCTTCCAAGCCTTCTTGGATGCTGGGCTTGCCGTTTGCGCCGGTTTTCTCTGAGGTCCAGCGAGGCGGGGCCGGTGCTTCTTTGGAGTCTGTGCTTGACGCTCTCCGTCTGAGAAGGAAGAGGTTTCCGCAGTGCTCAGCCGCAGTTGTGCAGATGCCCGAAACTGGCGGCCCTAGGGCCCTAAACTGAGCAAAGTACCTCACCTGATAGTCGCTTGTCACTGCGCCACACATAGGTGCATGCACAGTCATGCACATGTACAGGATGCATGGTCCACCCATCCATCCATCGATCCATCCATCCGTGCATCCATGCCCGTATGAGTCTGCATCTACAGTGAATCTACAGGTTGTAAAGCACAGGATCTAAAACTGCTTCTATGGTACACGATGTAGCCATGTATTGTCATGTGTATATGAGGGCGCAAATTTATGCATGCTTAAGTTCATCCGCACATGTCTCTGGTCTTCACGTAGATACGTGCCCAGAAGTTATACCTGTGCCTAAGCAGGTCTGGCCGTTGTCCTGGAGGCATTCAGGGCTGCTACAAGCGGACGGCTGACCTGGTGTCCTGGACGCAGAGTTCCGACTGATGCTTCGAACCAGAATTTCAATCCTTGTTTGTGCACTCTAGCCTGGCCGTGCTCACGAGGTAGCAGTTATGATTCCAGGTGGAGGTTAGGGGTGCAAGCTCAGGGGTTCTCTGGCACCGCAGATGGATCACATTCAAAGGGTGATCGTTTGCCCAAGGGGTCGGTGCAAGGGAGATGAAGTGTGGCAAGGTCAAAGCTGTAGGCCGAAGAGGTGTTGGGAAGACTCCAACGTCTGGTCCAGTCACGTTGTGCCTCCCAGGCCAACTGACCCGCCGAATTCGTGGGAAATCATCGGTGCCTTCGGTCAAATTGCAGGGTTGTGCAGACTCCTATATACACGTACACACAGGTGCATCTTCTTTTTTCTTGCTGTCTGACTCTGAAGGACTCGCACCCATTGGAGGCTACGGCCCAAAACCCCAAACCTGCTTCTGCAGGGAGACACCGCATCATGAGATGCAGAGACCTGCAGGAATGTAAATCCTACTACATATGTTATGGGGATTACGATGTACCATATGCACTTCATGAACTAGTTTATGCACAAGCAAAAGCCACACATGTTTTCCCAAAATGCAGCCCATCCCCCCAGTGCCAGAGTAGGGTGGAGGTCGTTGTTGAGCTTTGAAACTGCTCTGACGCTTTCCTACTGCCGGCCCTTACGGACATGGAACCCTGAACCCCGAAACAGTTCGAAGCCCACTACGCAACTGAATGTGCCTTTGCGAAGATGCATGGGGACAGTGTGCCAAGGAGTGCGGACTGTAGACACTTTGCTTGAGTTTGTTTCGTTTTGCTTAAGCTTTGCTTTCCAGCCACTGACGTCCTGACCGACGCCAAGGGGTCGACTTTGCCTTGGAGCAGTCGGATGCCCTGCGTGTGGACGCGAAGGCACCTGGGCCGTGGATCTGGACGAGCATTGCTGCCAATAGCCAGAGTTTGGGAGACGGCAGAGGATGTTTCATGCAACGCTGATGTGAGGAGCAACACGGCAGTCTACCTATGTTACATACAACTATACTAGTCACTAGACATGGACGAACAAAACGCATCCTTGGATTGAATAAGGTAGAGTCGTACACCAGGGATGAAAACACTAAACCCCGATTCCCTATCACTGTATCACTGCCTCGAGAGGAAGAGGAGCCATCAAAAGAAATAATCAACCCCTAAGCACTAGATCTGATCATCGAGTTTCAATGTCAGAAACTATCACAAATTTTATAATGACCAAGAAAATGAACCCTAAATTTTGGCCCTGAATCGTCCCGAGAAGGTGCTGGACTGGAACTACGGACCAGGCAGGGCTGGGGTTTCGGTCCCGGGGAAGGCTGCGGATTGGAAGCTGGTTGATCTAAGCAGCGCATGCTTTCGGGATCAGGTAGATAGTGAGGTTGAAAGTTGGGGAGCTTCAAGTTTCGTATTTAGGGTTGTTTACAGGTTCTGCTCCCTGGTTCTGAGGACTGGCCTTTGGTCGGCAGCTGAAGAACGGCCAGGTGCCTTGGGGAGATCCGGGGAGCTTGATGTTGGATGGGGCGTGCAGGGTGCAGAGATCCCCAAAGCTCCTCGCAGCCAGCATCCAGATGGGAACCGGCCCCGAAGTAGCGTGACGACGAGCTTCTGCAGTCCTTGGACAGGCGAAGACGCTCGCCTTCCTGCAGGAGGCGTACCGACTTCTACACCAACTACACAGGTGGAAGATGGTTAAGTCATCATCACTAGTCATCGAAGCTTGTGCCCGGCCACATCATGGTCGCTCCGAGGAAGCTCCCAAACCCTTGGCGCCTTTGCCCCCAAGCAGGCTACGGGGAACGGGTGGGCCAAGCGCCCGGCGGCAGCAGATGCCCCCGTCACCTGCCTCAAGAGCTGCTTATGCCAATGCCGATTGCAGTCGGGCAACATGTCTGTCAAGCCTTCGACCCTACAGGTCCTAAACTGCTGTGAGAGCCCTTCCTGAACCTTGGACCCTGAATCCTATGTTTTGTTGGTAAATGTTATCCCTAAAACATTGGCCCAGGTCGCGCCTCGAGGTCCTCTTCGACGACTCGGGCGAGAGGCGGCCACCCGCTTGGCACGGGGCTCGGTAGTAGAGCAGGGGGGTCGGAAGAATTAGCGATGCGTTACATCGTGCATGAGTGGTTTGGGCTTCGAGCCTGAAGGGCGATTGGAGCAGTCTCGAGACGTTTGTATACTTCAGCAGATCATCTCGTTGGACCTCGGCTGAGGTGCATCTGAGCCGCAGGCCCAGGCCACGCCAGAGAAAAGCTGCTATGCCCTGGTCTTGCATCCGTATCCGTATCGGTATGTGCCAGTCCGAGGATGCTCCATTGCTCAGATCATGTGCCGATGCTTGGCTCCAGCAGAGCAGAGCACAGCAACCGGATACAGCAAGCTGGAGGGAGCCCTTCACAAAGAGCAGTTAAAGTTGCCGGATGACCCTGTAACTCTGTGAACTAGTGGCATGCTGACATGCTGCAGTATTGCCCTGATTTAAAGCACTGGGCAGATCTTCCGTTGTTTCGAAGTTTTAAACTTTCCAGCGCTGGCAGCTTCGGCTGCCTACTCCAAACTTGCACCTTGAACACGTTGGCTTCAACGGGCGCAGCGTTCTGGTCCCCGCTAGTTCCGCCTCCCTTGACCCCCCTAAGCCCAAAGACGTGCATGGAGGGCCCGGCCCTGACAGAAAGCCATGGACGAGCTGTACAGCGTGGGACAGAAAGTCGCACAGGACCGATTTTTCCCAGAGCCTATTGCGTAGCGGCTTAGTGACTCGCTGACTCTCCAGGACAATGCTGGTGTCATGGATCCCGAACTTCTCTCCAGCGACCTCCTGGCTGCGCTTGATGGGATCCCACACAGCCTGTACTACGTATTGCATATTACATATGTATTATGCCTGGGCTCCTCAGCTTGCCTGTCAAGCTGCTTGTGCTTGAGGCTTGCAGTTCTGGGATGCCGTGGTGCTCTGCTTTCAAACCGCCAGGCTTTGGGCGGAAGTCCAGAGAAGCTGGCAGAGCTCTTGGCGGGCGGAGGCCCGGCTTCGGGAAGTGTGGGATTGGGAGATTGAGCGCATGAGCCAGACGGCAAGCATGGCATCGGATTGCTGTGGCGGCTCGGGCCGAGCCGCGAGCCAGCAAAGCCCGAAGCAACGACGGCCAGAACAGCTTTTAGCAATCTTGCTCATAGTCGCTTGCAAATGCAGGGCCTCCAAGACTATCGGCTTAAAGAACTGAGGCTGCAGATGGACTTGCTGGGGTGTGCCCTTGTCTTCTCTCGACAGCTTTAGCTACCCAACCCAGCTTTCAGAGGCTTCGAGTCCAAAGTCCATGGCAGAAGCCAGGCAGCATGGAAGAGTACCTGCAAAGCTACGAACAGATGCTTCAAGAAGGCGGGCTGTAGGGCCAAGTCAGGGCTCAGTTTGGCTTCCGGGCAGGGCTTACGAAAAGGCCGATGCAGGAGTTTCAGACTGATGAACCTCCCCGGCTGTGCACTTGCACCATGGGCTTATTTGTGCGTTTGTCTCGTGTATGGAAAATCTCGGGGAGCCTTTGGAGCAAAAGGGTCGCAATGCGCTCGCAGACCTTGGCCGTTGTCTTTAGAATGCCTTGTCTTCATGTGGCCCGCAGGCGTTGCGCCAACTATGGGCGGGGGTGCCATGCTCGACCAGGCTCGCTCTCACCAGATGTGGGATGCAGCTGGTGTTCTTGCCTGGTGATCGTAGCGCAGGTGGATCCGGAGGGTGGCATCACCACCCGCCCGGAAGCTGGTTTTGCCGTGGCCTTGAGCAGTTAGTAGAGCACGCACTCCGAGTATGTTACGGCTTGGTAGGCAGGCAAGCAATCAGGCAAGCAGCGAGCAATGGAGCAAGCAAGCAAGTAAGAACGTTAGCAAAAAAGTAAGTCAGTAAGGAAAGAAGTAAGTAGGTGATGAAACGAATCAATACATAAGTTCTCCGTGAGTGAGGCAGCAAAAAGCAAGCCAGTCGGTCAGTCGGAAGGCAAGCAAGTAAGTAAGGAAGGAAGGATGGATGTCCCTTTGACCCGACCGATGTCGCAGCAGCACCTGCAATGTTCACCTTTGTGGCCATCTGCTTGCATCGCTCCCGCCACCAGCTGTGTTTTGACCCTGGCCGGTAACGGTGTTACTGCAGTGACTAAGCAACCCAGCAGGACGCAGGTTTCCTTGGCACACAAGCTGCGAGACACAGCCTTCGACGCTCGATCGAGTTAGTTGTTAGGGGGTGTCACTGTGAGAGGTCGTGAAGACGCGCGACAACGATGCGGGCACCAAGATTTTCATCAACGTAGTGTCGAGCCCTCACATTGAGGCTGGGTGGATTCGGGGCTTTGCGTTCAGGAGTTTTCTGCCACTTGGTGTGGGCTCAAGTGCGAGGCCGTGAAAGGCTACAGTGGCTACAGAATGGCTACAGACCCCGAACCAGCCTTTTACGCCCCGACACGTCACATTGAAGAAAATGGCCGCTTGGCCTGCGAGGAGCCCCACATGAAAAGCTACACGGAGCTGGATGGGGAGCAGGGCTGCCGTGTGCCCCTCTCCATAGGCGTTGCCGTGGAGGCAAGCCAACGGGAGGGCCTCCAACTGTCGCAGATAAAGCAAGCGCTTGCAGCTTCTAGTGAAGTGGAGGTTTCATAAGCGCTTGACGTCTCCGCACCGCAGGACTTCGACAAGAAGGGCGAGCCTTGTGTGACATACGATGTGGTCGCAAATCCAAAGGCCAGGAGAGAGAGCCAGATAACTATTCGTTTTCGGCGATCGCTAAGCCTGATCCGAAGCGCCCCTTGTGAAGTCCACGTGCTTACACGTCATGTAAGTTGGGTAGGTCGCTATGTCTGCATTTTGATCCTTGGACTGGGCTCCTATGGTCCGTTGCGTGTCATGACAGGTCGTGGAAGAATGTTCGGCGGAGCCAGCTTTCCGAGAACAGGCAGCAGTAATTCGAGATTTCTCAGTTTGGCGCTCGCCAATGCGACTGCAGAGATGTACTTGGCAAGTTCACCTTTGCCAGACTCACCTTCGAAACAACCCCCGTGTCATGACGAAGATGTTCTGCGCAAAGGGCCTCGAGCTGACAGCGGCCTGTGTGCAGGTAGTGCAGCTTTGCTTGGCTGCGGTGTCTCAAAAGTACAAACTGCAGCGACTTGGCTTGAGTAGTGAGGGAGAGTAGGTCTGCGCCTGTGGGGCTGTCTGGAGGAATTGAGCAAAACATCTGTAGCAGATCAATCCTCTAGAGCATCCTCCGGGCTTGAATGGCTGGCTGCTGCTCTGATGCTGTCATTTGGAATCACAACAAGCTTTTCGAAGCGACACGCAACTGAGAACCTCAGCGACAAAAGAAAAGACTGAACTGAACTGAACCTTGCTTCCAGCGTGGCAACCAAAACATGTTTCTCCAACTTCACAAACGTTTGCCCCTGGCTTCCAGCTGCCTGCTACTGATCGTGTCCTGCAAGGCTTGATCAAAGGTTCAAGCTGCCAAAGATCAAGTACAAGGCATCCTGCAGTGCAGTGCCTAGCACCTTTATACAACCAGCACCGAATCCGAATCTTTCCTGAGCTTTCGGTTGGGCAGAAGGGGTTCGGGGGCGGAACCCTGACGTCTCATTCGCTGAAGCTTCATTGGGGCAAGACGGGCCAGCAGCTGATAAGATGCCTGCGCTCATTGAGATGAAAGTGGCTGTGCCTGGCTCGCTCAGCAAGTGCTTGTCGGTGCAGGGCACCACAGTGCAGCTGCAAAGAATTCGCGCATGGCTCAGCTTGCAGTGTTGGCACCCTTTATCGCCAAAGGTCCGGCGAAATCGGAATTGGGATAGTGGGAGAAGGATGGCCATTATTGGGAGGTCCAAGGCGAAGACTTGGGAGTTCCGTGTGGTTTTGACGGAGTTTCGCCTCCCCGCGCATGTACTGTGGCAGTCTTGCATCTCGATTGCTGAATAGAGCAACCGCCGCGACGGACTTCCAAGCCGATCTCCATGAGCAGGCATGTGACGATTACCGCACCCTACTGCTGCGATCCGACTCTAGGAATGAGGCGACCTCACTTAGAGTCACTAGATAGTCAGCACCCTAAGTAATGGGAGCCTTACTAGTAGGACCCCTAAAGAAGGTGCCCCGCAACCATTCCATCTCGAGGTAGCAAAGGGTGGACTGGTGGACTTGCCTAGCTGCCCCAGTGTCATATGGAAACCTCAGAAGACTAAGGGTAGCTTATCCGGGGGTCACTATAGATCCTGTTATCTAGGGTTTCAATCATGAGGGCCCCAGACGAAAATCTGAATGCAACCACCTGCATCAGGAAAGAAGAAGGAGTCGCAGATCCAGGAGCTCTGCCGGCATTACATGAGGGTAGGTGCTTCCTCCGCATCTGCCAAGAGAAACTGTTCCTACGAGTATCATTCCGATGAATACTATAATCCTAACCCCTAAACTCCCTAAACCCTATCAGACTCATGATCCCTAGGCGCTGCTAGAAGGCTCGGGCCGTGTCCTTTCAGGAGATGCCGGAGAATACCTCTGCACCACAGCCTGGAACCAGTGCTCAGAGGTCCCGGCAAAGGGTGGCGGGGGTCCCCCAATATCCCTGCAAGAGGCATGGAATGGAGTTTGAAGGGCTTTTTCAGGACTCTGCAGAAGAGCCGTCCTCCCAAAGTTGAACTCCCACCTGGGCCCTCGCATCGGGCCAGGCGAGCCAGCGGCGAGCCCTCGATTCCCACAGCCCGCACAGGCGGAGCTCGAAGCGCTTCGAGTGTTCGGGACCTGGCCTGGAAGACCAAGAGAAGCCTCGGGGCATAGCCTAGCAAAGTCCATCTGCAAACTATTCATGTTTCGTATCTCTTCTGATTAATTATAGACCCCACAGAGTGAACCTTCGAATTTGAACCTGCTGCAGACGGCCCGCAGCCTCCTGACTTTTGCGTCTACTACGCGCTGCCTGACAGCTCGCCGCTACAGGCGAGGTGGCCAGGGTGACTTCCCAAGGGGAGTCGTACACGCTGATGGCATGTTGCTTTGATCCCTGAGCTGTTGAGGCAAGACAGCGCTAACAATCCAGCAACATAGCAAAACTCTCAGACTGCATGTATGGAAGCATTCACAGACACAGGCAGAGAGATGACGGAGGGAAGGACACGAACACACAGACAAAGAACAGGCGGATAGGAATGTCGAAAGATACATTGACATGCATGCACAGAGCAGGCTAAACTTGGTACCAGTAGACCAGTAGAAGGCACGCCCTCTCCATCTCCAGGACGCAATCGGCTCTACAAACTTGCGACCATACAGCTCCGAAGTTCGATCCCAAGCAGGGCGCCGGAACTTCCTGCACTTCTGCCAGGACATTTTCGAGAGAGACTGGGGCTCGCCACCCGACGATGTTGAGGAGGCGTCCAAGGCCGTGCGCCACACGACCAGACAAGAGCCCGTTCGAGGATTCTTTTCCGGAATTTGGCCCGTCAGGACATCGGACCCTTCAACCTTTGAAATGCGAGAGACTGGGGCGCATGCGGCACTTGGTTGGATTGTGGGAACGGTGTGGCAGGTGGCGTACCTCTACGGATTTGACTTGCCGTGCTATCGGGTCAACACCTTCCAGGCGTGTGCAGGGCGCGTGGAATATGCTCTTGTTTTTTTGCAGTGCTCACTCTGGGTGCGAACCTGCGTCTGGTACTGCTGCTCTGGTGGACGATGACGAGTCTGATGATGACCAAGAATGTTGATGCTGTTGTCTGTTCTGATCAACTAGTGGTGATGCTGAACATGTGGCCGTGACAAAGGTCACCGTGAAACTGAGCATGGGAACATTGATGTATGATCGGGTGATGATGGTGGTGATCATCATCACCATCACCATGAGAGTGATGATGACGATGATCATGGTGGTGGTTATTTTTTTTGTGATGACGATGTTGCCGTCGTGACGATTGATGGTACTTGTAGTCAGAACGGTGGCAGTTCAAGAAGAAGCAGAATGATGATGACGACGATGACGCTGGTGGCTTTACTGACGAAGATGTTGATGATGGCCTACTGACTGCCATGCCCGGTGAAAAAGGTCGCACCGTAGTCGCAGTGATGATGGTCATCACCACCATCATCAGCTACAGTGCCATCATGGTCGTGATCCTCCAAACCACGGTACTTGTAAGGGGGCCAGACTTGGGCACTGAAGGCCAGAGTAGCGAAGACCCTTTTCCCGCTGACGCAGCTGCAAGTAGTCTTGCATCAGGAGAAGATCCGTGGCACCATGAAGAATAAGGCCAGAGCCGGTCACGTGACTCCGAGTTTCATTGTCGCCATGCTCACTTCAGGCTGTAGGGTCTTTTCGGGCCTGGGGTTTCATCTCTTTGTTGCAAAGCCTCCCCTCCCCCGCCGAAGGCAGATCGGGAGAGGGACGAGGCCGAAGAAGGCGAAGTCGACGCCGTGGCTCGGGCAAGGAAGGCGCCCTCGACGAAGCACCACTTCCAGAATCTCTACATGGGTGGTTGTCAATATTAGGGTCCCTTTTTGGGTACCCTAAATAATAGGTCCGGTACGATATTAGGGACCCAAAAAGTGACCATAGTTTTGACAACCACGCACATGAATGATTGATCTCACCGGGCTTTGTTCAGGGCGAGGTTGTCATAGGCGATCACACGCTCCCCATAGTACCGGTGGCGGAAAGCAGTAACCGTAAAGACCAGGGTTGTGCGGTGCTCCTCACCGGTCCCTTCAGGCTTTCCATTTGGCTTGAAAGTACTCTGCTGCTGGCGGGGCTTGTTTGATGACGGAGCATGAGAATGGACAGTATCAGATTCCGGGTGAGTGAGGGACAGTCACTTCTGACGTCGAGAAGATGCTGGTGCAGCTTATCCCCCTGAACCCTGAACCCCAAAAGACAGCTGTGTGCTAACATCGCAGGCGACCAGCGAGATGCTGGCATCCAGGACTGCTGGCATGCTGTTTTTTCAGGGAGCCGACTTGAAGCAGGAGCTTCTGAGCAATACCCTAAACCCTATACCACAGTAAAGCCCTAAATGCCCACAGAGGTCCCCTTATAGAAACCTCTATAGGAACAGTGTGTTGATTTTGTCCGAGGCGTTTCTTCTTCCCCTGCAGCTCCTGGCCAGGACTTGCTGCGTGCATGTGCGCATGCCGGACTTGGATCCACAAATCCCTTCTTTGAAGCAATTCTCCTTGGAGGTGGTCCAGGGTTTCGTTGAGGCTTTAGGATTTGGAAGTTTCCGAAAATGAGGAGTACCTTGTTTGGGGTCCTTATAATACGGATCCTACTACTTAGGGTACTATATTGGGGTCCCCTATGGAGCCTTACTCCTTGGAGGTCGAGGTCGGGGGCTCGCCATTTTGACATCCCTGCACCGCGGGCTGGGGTTTAGGGTTTGGCTATCTGAACTGCTTGAACCGCATGTTTTCGGTGTCCTGTGCTGCAGGTCAGTGATGAGTGCCTGAGGCCAACCTGCCGCTGCGTGCAAGATTGCACAGATGCTCAACAAGCAACCTAAACACAGGGCTGCTTGAGTTGAAGCGAGAAACAGTCGGGTACAGGAAGTGAAGATCGACAAAGAGTCTCTTAAGCATCAACCGGAGTGGAGAGGAGAGAGCCTGCTTGACCTCCTGCTGTGGTGCTTGCAGGGTAAGTTTCCCAATGCTGCCCCGCTCGACGAAGTCCGCCTACGCAAACATCACCTTTTGGTGGCCAGCTTCCAAGATGAGATCACATTGATCCCAGTGAAATGTTTGACGTTTGTCACCGTGAGCACCACAGCGCAGGCATCAGCTATTCATGGCCGTCTGGTGCTGCCATCGTCATCTAGTACCACAGCATGCTTAGGCATGTTGCTGCAATGAGTGAAGTTGATTGAAAGTGACCGCCTCAATCGGGGTCAAGCACTCCAAAGTAGACCTGGACAGCCTTAGGCTTGCTCCGATGCTCTCGGTGCGACATCGGGACGATGAATTACCCAACGACATGTTCGGCTTCAGATTCGATGCGAATCCAGATCATGAGGAGAACGAGGATGACGAGTCAGAGATCAGGCTGGATGGCCGTACGGGCGACTATCGATTCCAATACATCCTCAAAGAAGACGAGTATTCTGGCCTATACATGGTCGGTGGTCAGGCCTATGATCAGACGGGTGCTGTGGTTGGCAGGATGTCAGGTGCCTTGATGAATCAGGAGATCCTGGGCAAGAGCTTCTATGCCGCTTGTGATTCCGTCTCTCAGGAGCTTATGGAGTGCTCCGTGAATCTTTTCGACAGCAAGGGGCGTCCCAAAGCTTCTTGGAAGGCCAAGCTGCGAGAAGAGTTTGCACAAAAAGGCCGCGGTGGATGGCTCTATCTTGATGAGGTGCACTTGCTGCCCTCGCATCGCGGGCGCGATCTCGGCTTAGACTTCGTGGAATGCCTTTTCAATGAACTCCGAGGTGCAGACATGTGCACGCTGGCTGTGCTGGAACCTTTCGGAGCCCCGGCAAGAGGTGTCAAACCGAGGGCCATCACCACGTCTCATCACGATGAGGAGTTGGGGACTGCAGCGAATGTCAAGCTGGCCCGCCATTTCGCGCGCATGGGCTTTCAACAAGTTGGAGGGGCAGAGCCGCTCTCCAACTACTGGTTCATTTGCCTGTGCATCAGGCAAAGAGGGTTCACATCAAAAGCAGCTGCAGCCGTGGTGGAAGTGTCGGTGCCACCGAAGGAGCCGACACCGAAGGTCTTGACAGGAAAAGACAAGGAGCTGTTCGATGCTTGCACTCTGAGCATGACACCCCCTCTGCCTGATAAAATTCAGGATCTCCTGCGATCTGGCGCAGACCCCAATAATGCCTGCGCACTACACGCCTGCGCTGCAAACCACCATGTTGCTGCCGGCCGCATGCTTTTGGAAATGGGATGTGCTGTCAATCAGCTTGACAGTCACGGCTACACTCCACTGCATCTAGCAGCTGCAAAGTGCACATGCCAATCCAGCTTGGATTTTGTCTCGATGCTGCTTGCGCACGGTGCGCAGAAAGACATCACGACTTCGAAAGGACAAACACCGGTTCAATGCGCAAGCGAGGCTGATGAGTCCATGAAAACCTTTCTCAAGTGGGAAAGAAGCATGATCGGAAGTACAGTTCCTAACAGACCAGAGACCAATTTCGCGAAGAAGTGCAAGCGATTGCTAGAGGCGTTTGTGCCACAACCGGTATCGAAGCGGCCTCGTCTTCAATAACGTGCACTCTTAGATAAGTTGAGTAGGCTGCGGGACCCGGCATGCAGCATCTTCGATGATGCCCTATGCTTCGACAAGCACAGCTGCACGAGATGTAAAGGAAAGCGTCCGGCGAGAGTGCGGCAATGTGCGGAAGATTTTGGGAGTAGTGTAGGATAGCAACAATCATTTGGGGGTTTCCGAGAATTAGGGGACCCTAATTTATGAAGCCTGAACAGAAGGATCCGTATTATAAGGACCCCCAAAATACCGTACCCCGAATTTTCGGAAACTCCCATTTTGTGGCCAAGGCCGCAGCACTTCAACTCCCAGGAAGCCAACGCAGACTGGGATCCGAAGGAGAGGGGGGGGGGGGCAAAGTGTTTTCTTCAGGATAACGTAGGGGCCTTGGGGCTTCCTTATTGTAATTATCGTACAACATAACTCCTAAAACCCTATTCTAACTATTAAGGCCCTGTATGAATCTTCCTTGTTTCTTGCCCTAGAGGCTGGTTACCAGTTTTGTGAGTGTTGCGATGCTTGGGGGTCCGGATTCCAGCGCAGACTCCTTCAGCTTTGGACGCAGAGAGCGGTGCTTGGGGCGCGGCTTGATATCTCCTACACTTTGTGGATTCTCCACTAGCCCTGCGCGGACTATCACAGGTCAGCTGACGCTCCACAAGTTTCTATAGACTCAAAGGTGTTCTTTGGGGGTACAGTATACGAGTACTATAATAGTCATACTGAGCCCCAAAACTACATAGGTTCTGCCATGCTGCAAGCTCGGCATCTGCACTCATTAAGACTCTGTCAACGAGCGCAGCAGTCCGCAGGCCGATCTTCTGATGGCCGCTGACTCAAGCAAAAGGGGGGGAGATGGGCTGGGGCTTGCAGGTGTACTTAGAAGTGGCCCAGATCGGATGACCGAAATCGCGTTGGGCGCTCATTGTCATGAGGGGTGACACAGATTAGTCGAGTGTTTGTTCGACTGGAGGCGCATAAGAGCCGGAGACTCAACCGTCAGAAGCACGTGTATTTAGACATCCTGATGCTCACAGGGCATAGGCACCCTCCTCAGTGGCTAAGCTTCCCGGCCCCCGTCTGAAGCAAAACGCTTGCTGTGGAGTGAGGGAGCCTGGGGTCCCTGTGCAAGATGGGCCCAGGTGTCGCTACCGGCAGATTCAATGCCAGGGCAGGAGGCACGTATGTGAGAGCAGGGTGCGGGGGTTGATCTTTGCAAAAGGGCTCGAAAGTGGTTGTGCTATGGCTTGCATGTCAACAGACATCAAGCTGCGGTGATTCAGCTTGTGTTTCGAGCCATTTGGTCTAAGTGCAAAGCAATAACGAGGAGATGGCCCTTGTGCAGCCAGACCTTGCCGGACGATGTTGCAGGTTGTAGGTCCTACATGTATGTGGGCGAAACACGGAAACAAAGTGAGGATTTCTCACTGGGTCGGCGCAAGATGTAGGAGAAATGCCCGTAATGCCGGATTGAATCCAGGTCTAAGCCAGAATTACTTGCATACAAAGACTGGAGCATCTGGAAGCTGTTTAACCTTGCACCGCACGCTGGCAGTATGCTGTCTGCTGCACATAATGGTTCCGCATGGTATGGCATGTCTTGCACCTTCTATATATTGCCGCCGTTGAGTTGTTGTCAAGGGCTTTTAAAGTTAAGAACCAACGAACAGACAGACAAATAAACAAAGGCGATGGCCACGTTGGTAAAATCAAACAGCATCCATCAGGCCGCGAGTGTCTCCGTCGCCCTCGACACCGTCTCATGAACGACTTTGCAGTAGCAAGTCGTGATCAGACGCGACGGCTCTGTAACGGTAAGTGCTGTGATTCAAGGTATGCGAGGTAGGAAACATGATATATACGGATGTCTTTGTAAACCCTTCTGTACATGTAGACACATGTTTGAGGTTGTTTGGAATTCAGTTCGTTGGTCGTTTATTGCTGTTGGTACACTCGGTCTTGGTAACGTGACATTGGCAGAAAATGCATCAAGCGCTGTGGGCAGCTACAATGCAAGCTGCTCAGATCCCGCCGTAGTTCGCCTCTTGTTCGCTCCGTGGTTTCGTCATGGCAGCACCGTGGGCAAAACAGGATTTGTCACTGCATGTTACTGGCCTTGCAGGCCATCACACCGCCACTCTCCTATTGACGAATCGGCTGCTGCGCACGGCGAGTGCCGGCGAACTGCACAGCACATGCACCCAAACCTGAGACACGGCTTTGACAGGCGTGGAAAGTCAAGCATAGCACAGTGGCATAGAGAGCGCAACATTGGGGCGTCTTGGCTCGAGCTCTTGGCCCTGCAGATTCCGCAGCCGGAGCCATGCAGCGTGAGCCTCGGGAGTCCGGGCATCACTGGGACTTGTTGATGCTCTCTCCAGCAAGTGACTTGGAGCTGTGGGTTTTCAGTAAGAGGGGGCACGCGTGTGCCACAACTCGTCGGATAGCAGGAAGGGTAACACAAAGATATGAGAGGGATGTTTCCAAAGGGCAGGATTTCTATTGCGGTAGACTGGCCTGGGACGAGCACAGCCCCACACTGTGTGTGTGTGTGTGTCTCATGTCATCACTAATGTTCAAGAAGTGCGTGTCATGAAATACTGAAATTATCGAGCACGACCGCAGACTGCAGAGACTCTGCTTCATCTGTCATCTGAGCTGGCGCAGCTTCCCGCAGAATCCCAAACCCGCGAAAGGCCAAGGTCGTAGGTGTCCTTCCCGCAGAATCGGCAAGAAACCGCTGACCTCGTAACGTGCCGTACCAGCAAGAAGCAGCGGCAGGAGTAGTCGCGCTGCCTGTGGATATACATTATACATCTATATCTATATATATATATATATATATATATATATATATATATATATAGGTCCTAAAGTTCCTAAAGCCGGGTTCTCGGTTCATGTCACCTGGGGCCTTGGGAGCTCCGGAGCTTCCGCAGCCGACCTGAGGCTTCGCTACTATCTCAACGAGAATGGCAAGAGGGTGCCTGGCCTGCGTCGGCAAGCAGGGAATCGGCCTTTTCTGGATTTTTGAAAGGCAGTCGGCAGAGAATTAATTAAGTTCAGACTCTGTGGCTCGGAAGGCCTTGCCGGGAGGCGCATTCTCAGATAGCCATGCAGCCCGTGCTACTTCGTGCTTGTAGTAGTCCAGGTCCATGAATGCGCTTGGCATCAACCACCCGAAACCTTGAACCCTAAGCCCCCAAGGTATACACCCTCGAGAGCATCGTGAAGGTGGAGGGAGAGGCTCTCGCAGCGTGAGCACAAGACCCGGCATTCTCCAACATGTAGCATTAAACCCAAAAGAGGATCTCTAAGTCTTTAGCATACAGATGCAAGACTTTACGGCCTGATACATGTTGCACGAAGCATGTCTTTCTGCTGAGCCCATCCCTGCAGTCATCGTCAGGTAGTGGCAACAGAACTAACTAACCCATGCCCATGATTATTGTATATACTGTCGATGGCACCGTCCGTCATGCTGCTTGGCAGTTTAAGTTTAAGCA